CCACAAAATAAAGTCCAACTTTCATGGTGTCTTAGTCTGCTTTGGCTTCCATAGCAAAATATCATAGACTGGGCACCTTAATTAACAGATTTTTTTTTCTCACAGTTCTGGAGGCTAGAAGTCTAAGACCAGGGTGCCAGCATGGTTGAGTTTTGGTGAGGGCCTTTTTCTTGATTTGCAGATTGTTACATTCTTGCTATGTTCTCATATGGTGGAGAGAGAATGAGCAAACTTTCTGGTGTTTCTTCTTATAAGGTCACTAATCAAATCATGAGGGCCCCACTCTCATAACCTCATCTAAACCTAATTACTTCCCAAAGGCCCAATCTCTAAACAGCATCACATTGGGAGTTAGGGTTTCAGTATATGAATTTTGGGGGAACATATTCAATGCACAGTGGTTATGTGTGACATTCAAGGGCATTTGCAAGCAGCTCTAAACCACTTATTTTGTTTTGTCTTCTATATTACTTCATGCCAGTGCATTCTGGGGCTTCAAGAACATCAAAAATAGTTCTCAAAATTTATCATCTGTTTTCATAGGACTCTGCCATTGCTCATGTGGTTCATTCTGCTTGGATAGCTTTTCACCCTTTGCTGCCTGACAAACTATTATTTGTCCTTCAATTGTCCAGGTCAAATGCCACCTCTATTGTGAAGTCAGGTTGGATTTCCTCTTCTTTGCACTCATATCACTTTGCATATACTTTTTTCAAATTCAAATAGCCTGGGTTCAAATCTGCCAGATTCTAAATGTGTGACCTTAAGCAAGTTACTTGATTATACTTCAGTAACTCATTTGTAAAATGGGGATCATTATAACACCTATTTCATATGATTGGTGTGGGGATTAATGAGTGACTATGTGTAAAGTTCTTAGAGAAATGCTTGGCACATAATAAGCATTAGATAAATTGTTTGCTATTAGTATTTCTATTATGTCATGTTAAATGAAAACAGTAAGGACAAAAATGTTTATTCATAGTGTAAATGTAGGGAAATGTTTTCACTATGACACTCTGGTGACCTTGCACTATTCACATAGTCCATGTAGGCCAAGTTGAATTACAGCAAGAGCTGGGTCTTGGCGGAACATCCTGTGATCCTCCTGGAACATGGGAAGATAAGCAGTCTTGTGAGCTGCCTCAATGCTGTTTCTTATCTGCCTCTCTACCTTGTGGGAGGCTGCCATGAGGCAGTTTCTCATCCTACTCCCTGATACCAGTAAGACACAGGACTTTCCACCTCCCTCCCCTTGGGTACAGATTTAAACTATAAAAACAGCTAGCTGCAGTCTAGAGTTGGTTCTTCAGCAACAGAGTGCCCTGCTGCTTGTGTTGCCTGTCATCTGGCCCCTTTGGTTCAATGTCTTCCTGTGGGCAAAGGGATACAGGGAGCTGACACCATACTGATCTTGCTAATACTGTCTGTGTAAGTAATAAACTCTATCTTTTTGGGGTCATTGTTACCTTATTGGATGAATCTATTAAAGTCTGGAAAGCCCACCTAGTAGCTGCCATTGCACTACTGCTTATGGACTGCTTGATGTCTTGACAGTAAGCTCCTTGAGAGAAGAAGAATATTGTCTATTTCGTTCAACACTGTATATCCAGTATCTGGCACATAGTAAGTGCTCAATAAGTATTTGTTGAATTTTTAAAAATTATAGCAAACAATGAAACAAAGATATATAGTCAAGGATATATATCAAACCCATTATAGTGGGAGATTTGTGGAGAGGGATGGAGACTATAGCTAGAAGATGAAGGGGGCAATAAAAAACAAAACAAAATAAAATAAAATAAGGTAGGGGCCTTCTACTCATCAGGTTTAAAGCAAAGTGTATATGTCACCTAGGAAGAAGAAGCCCTCTAGCTCTCCTATTATTTTTCCATTAATTTCTATGAGTATTTGATACTTTGTAAATCTGACATTAGTTTCTAAACTGTAATATAAGAAGGAGAGACTAGACTAGCATCTTCCAAACTGTTTACCAAGGAACCCCAGTCATTCCCCTAAGAGCTGCCTCATGGGTGGTGGCACCTTTTTATTTTTAAGGCAGTGGTACTTTTACGTGTTCTATATGTTGGGATTTTTCATGTAAATTTGTTTAAAGAAAAACCTTAACAGCTAAAATCAAAACAAAATAAACCTGTAAACCACTAGCTTAGGGAAAGTTGGTAGCTACAAATTTGGGAGTAAAGCAGCGGAGGATAACAATAAGGCAGGTAGAATTTGAATAAAGGGGCTCTTTGGCTTTGGGGTTAGAAGGAAAGTTTGCTGAAGACATATATATTTCTAATTCAGTATATTGTTTAGGACCATCACTTTGATTTGGGATTCATAAATCTTGCTTTCTTATTTGGAATCTAGGGAGGGTAAAGGAAAGGATGGTCCTTGTGAATTTTTACACCCCAAAACACTCCTTGTGCTTAAATAAATTATACTCCTATTATGTTCCTCAGCTTAAGCAAGGGATTTCTTCTTAAAGTCTCTGGGTTATATTGTTATATAGAGACCAGGTCCAGGACCCAAATAGCATATTTTGCCAATTCTAAGGTGCAATTTTCCCGACATTATAATGTTTCTGATATTAAGATGCATCATACAATCAATGCATACATTTAATATGATAGTGTACTTATTTTTCCTCTTAAGTGTGGTTATTAAGTAAGTAGTATGTTTACAATTTGATATTGTCTTAGATTCAATTAAACGTATTATTAACAGAAATGGTAAGCATATATATTTGACCAAAAATACTTGATATAGGTTCAACAGCTTCTTTACTCCAAGTCTTACTAGGGGGCTTATCATCATTATGGTAGATGTCATCATTAATATGCCTACAGTATAAAATTCAAGCTACAAATTGGGGCTTTTTTATATTTTTTGAGAGTCAGCTTACCAATGCACCATTGCCAATATTTATTCTTGTTATACTCACTGCTTACTCAAATATGCCATATTATTTCATGCCTGGATACCTTTCCATGTGCTCTTCCCTCTGCTTGGAATGCCCTTCTTTGAATGTTGTCCACTGTAGAAATCCTATCCACCCAAACAGAGTTGATCCTTTCCTGCTTTATGTCACTATGTACCTGGTATATGACTCTAAATTTGTACTTACCATACTGAACTGCGATGATTTGTTAGGTATCCATCTCCTTTACTATAAATTCCTTGAGGACAATTGGCTGTTTCTTATTTATTTTTGTATCTCTAGTACTTAAGACAGTGCTTGCTATGTAGTAGCATGCACTAGGTATTTAAAGATTGAATAAATGAAGAAATAAAGAGTAATAATGGAAAGAAAGAGAAAAAGAACAGTATATGAGTGGTAAAGTGCCATAGCACCAACAGACACTTTATTTGCTGCTTCCATTCAGTGGTATCCATGCCTTATCCAAACCTTCTGAACTTCTAGAGAACTTACAATTGTCTATACTGAGTTTAATTCTTAATAATAAAATGAGTTTGTTTATGTTAGTTTGTCTCCTCAGTTGATTATAAATTCATTAGAGGGAAGTATCAAGTCATCTTCTGTATATACTTATCACATTTTAGATAAATTGTATATTTCTATTATGAAGTGTGATTTAGTTTCCACGATTCTTCATTCTGAATATCTTTATTATTAAAACTAGTGGTAATTTGCATGAGCGAAATGGAAAGGCTACCAACAGTTTTTATTTATTTAGGGCCTAGAATTTCTCCAGAATTTAGAGCGATCTCTAACACTAGCCACCAAAAACACAATTTTACAGTAATTTAAGAGAGAGAAATTTGAATGTTACTGGTAAAACCCTGGGAGCTAATTACTTCAAGATTACTTGAAACCTTAACTCATTAGAGTTTGAAAAATCTCCCGAGGTACTTAATGTCACTATTCCCATTATGTTACTTGATTCAAATGAATGTCTTAGATTTTGCTAATAAGAGAAAACCTGACATTTATGCAAAAGAGAAATTCCATTTATCATTTGCTTAAGGAAAAAATATTAAGCATTTCCCATGGGTAGCTCAGTATTCTATAATGTATTGTAAGAGACGAGGGAAAAAGATAAAAACATAACCCCTAATCTCAAAATTTTAACCTAAGAGTCACTTGTGTATGTTGCCAAAATGAGCAAAATTACACACTCCTAGATTAGGCCTAGAATTTTCAGCAAGATTATTATGAGGATCAAATAAGCAAAAGTAAGGTGGTATCATTGATACTGTTGATATTGCCATTGCTATTATATACAATGACTTAGTAAAGGATGTTTTCCAACATGCTATAATGTCATTCAGATAAAGAAGCCAAGTAACATTTTAGATATCTTAGTATTTTTAATCAGAAGTTCCAAAAATTAAGAAAATCCCTTTTTAAATCTCCCAATACAAGCTGAGTCATTGCAAGAAATACAGAAATAAAAGGTAAAGATGGATTCAGGGAAGGAAATCTTTCATTCTGATTGCTTGTCAACTCATCAGAAGTTAATATCCAATCGGATGGCATACATGGGACAGAACTAAGGGATGAAAGAAAATTTAGTCCAATCAGATTGAACTGTTTTAATAGGACTAGAAATCATGTATTGCGTCATATGATTCTGTTTATTTGTGAGTCTTATCCAAAATATGGACACTTAGTTTATTTTGTACATGTTACCTATTTTATTTTATTTATTTAATTTTATTTTTTCAGGTGGAGGTTTTGCTATGTTGCCCAGGCTGGTCTTGAATTTCTGGGCTCAAGCAATCCTCTCACCTCAGCCTCCTGAGTAGCTGGGATTATAGGTGCATGCCACCAAGCCTGGTTTCATGCTATTAATTTTAAACTATCCATCACACTATTCCCCTAGTATCTGAAACACATCAACCACTATTTTTAGAGAGTTTACAGCCTTGTCTACAATATTTTATATACATATATATGTATACATACATACAACAGTCAGTCAATTTAGCTACAACAATCATATAGAAAATGGGGAAGAGGAGGAGAGGCTTACCACTAGATCCTGACAACATGCTGTTGAAGGGTCCTTTCTTGTAAATGCCAGGAATACATCCTCAGTTCCCACCTGCTGTTGGAATACTATCTCAAATCTGAAAAAAATGTCAATGATAATAGAGACTTAAAAGGGAAAGCAATTTCCTGTCACAGAGTGGAAAACTAGAAACTTAGGATATGCTATTTACAAAAATATAAAAGGACTAAATAAAGTGCTTGCAGTTTTTCAGGCATGTGGTAGAATATAAAGGAAAAGAAGTCTAGCAATGCAGTAAAAATGCCAAACACTGAAAAGCAGGATTATTATTTTCTCAAATAAAGCTTAATTGTTTGAGAGCTATACAAATAAAATAGATTGAGGAATATTCTAATAAGATTTTAATAAGGTTAAAAGTAGAAGAAAAAAAGGGTCTGTTCCTGGAAAACAATGACTCAGAAAAAATACTGGACCCATAACCCAGGGTTTGATGGATAGATAGAAATCCTCCTCTGCTAAGATTAAACCACGGAGTTAGAAAATCCAGGTTTAGTACTGTTTCTGTCATTAACTGTGGACCTTGGTTAACTCACAGACTCATGGGGTCTCAGCTTCTAAATTTGTATGATTTGTAGGAGTGGTTGGTTTGAACTAAATTGTCTCTATGGTCTTTGCCACCTCCCACAATGTTGTAATAGAAACTAGTAATGTAGTCAGCACAGCTACATTATAGTGTTTAGAATCTAGGACTACAGAAAAGTTGAATAGAAGATTTTTCTGGTATTTCACCTCACACCTGACAAGTCTTTCCTTCTTTCCAAATTTGTGCCCCTAGGGATAGCATAGTTTATAGAAGCACTCAGCAATAAGGTACTCTATCTCTTCATATAGCATAAAACAACCCTTTACATATTCTTTTTTCTGCTCGATTCTACCCTAATGAAGAAATGGGAAATCTCTGTATAGGAAGACTAAAGGACTAGATTGAACTTCTGACCATTTGCAAATAAGAATGCCCAAGAGTAAAAAAGGAATTTCTGAGTTCGAACAGGACTAACAATAAGTAGCTATTTGATATGGGACCCTTTTCTCTTAATGGGCTATATTATCTCCCAAGTAGTTACAAAGGTGAAGCCAGGTTAAAACGATGAGAAGTGATTGATCCATATGCTCGTGACTCCCAAATGGATTTTTGCAAGCTCCTGCTCTTCTCCTGAGCTCCAGACACAATTTTCCAACTGCTTACTATATATGCTTGCCTTGGATGTCCTAAAGGCACCTCGGAGTCTACATGTACAAAGCCAAACTCACTGCTTGCTTCTCCTCCACCTATAATCCCTATCAAAGTTATTGCATCACCATTTACTCAATCACCTAAGCTAGTATAATAACTTTAGCATCGTCTTCGATGCTTTCTTCTCATCCATTTTGTCTAATCAAATACCAAATCTTCCTGCAAAATTCTCAAAGACCTCATACTTCTCCCCAAGGCCAGTGCCTTAGCTGAGGCCCTTGTTATTATTTTATTTGGCCACTTGTGATTCTTCTTTTGTGAACTGCCTGTTCATGTTCCTTACCTGTTTTCCTCTTTACCCACTGGAACATTTTGAAATGCATTTTCATAAGGTAGAAAATAAAGATAAAAAATCTTATAAAGCAATTTTCCTCATATCTTGACTGGAGTTATTATTCATGTAAAGCTTTCATGGATGTTCTATCTATAGAACATCAAATATCAGGATAAAAAGTGAAAAATTTACTCAAATTTGAAGCTTACTGCATATGGATGTTTGACATTCTTTAGACAATATGACAAATGAGTGACTTAATTCTTACCTTTCATATGGATGTGTGGGTACTGTGTAAACATAACCTGAGATTTACTCTCTTCATTTTTAGGATGCAGACAAAAATATTGTTCTAAAATCTCCTTTGACTTTTTTGTGAGGTTTATGTTTTTGACATTGTTTATTTGAAAGCTGGATACTACTTTCTCTCCCACTGCTTCTATTTTCAGAACTGACGTAGAAGATGGAAGCAAAAGTTTTTTTTTCTTAAGTATTGGACAGTTTTGTAGTCGGAATTAGAATTAGAAAAGTTGTCAGATCACTTTCCATAGAAGTCGTTAAGAATGTATAAAGTACATTATAATTTAGTAAATATTGCCTTTATCTTTGTAGCTATTCTAAATATTCTATCGAGATTTTATTTCAAAAATATATATATATATATTTAAAGCTTAGTCTAGTCAAGCATTAATTACAACTATGTATATAAACATACTTTAAGTTCATTAAAAGTATGAGTGGTTTTTAAAAATCAGAATGAAACGCTTTTTATAATAATTCTAAATTTCATATTTACAATTTGATGATATTGAAAAGGATACAAAGCAAGATTTGAATCCTACTTGCAAAATACACTGAATGCTAAGTATAATCTTGAAATATCTAATAAATAAGTCTGGGTAATAATTGATAACTGGAGGGAGATTGTAGTCTTTTACTGAAATTATAGAATATTGAATAATTAAAAGCAGGTATTTGACCCATAAACATGGTATTGAAATTTAGTTGTATGAATGCTTGCAATTTAATGGGTTGGTTTTCTTCCACTGTTAGTTCCACATTATATAACTGATATTAAATATAAATTTATAATGGAAATGACTGTATTTTTTGTTTTTTGCTAGATAATAACTGCAAGAAAGGTGTTATGTTTTAGTATTTGTTTCTACTCTAGAAGGAAAAAAATCATCCATTATACATGCCTTCTGTGTGTTGCTATAGTTTTATCTTTCCTGTGGTATAAGTTACTTTATGAATCTTGTCAAAAATAGAATGGTATCAGATGACACATCTTACTTAAACCCATAAACACATTCCTGGCTTCATCTGACTTACTCTGGGATTTCTCTAACGTCCCACATATCATCATGCTCTGCTCCTTCTGGAACCTCTTCTGGATTCCAGATGTCCCCGCCCCTTTCCTCACTGGCTTGAGGGATGACTGTGGAGAAAGGGAAGATAAAGCTGAAGCTGTTACTTGTTTTCCTCTTGTAAATTGCTCCTGTTCTTCTTCACCCTCAGTTTGGGATAACTAAAGTAAAACATTCTTTATTTGTAAGCACTAGCTCTTTTTTTCTGGTCAAAACAAGCTAAATTTATAACAACTGACTTTAAATAATTTTATAAATACAGAACAAATACATTGCAGAACTGTAATAACAGCTGTAGAAAATTAGGGGAAAACACATAAACAAAAAGAAGAAAATAATCTACAATCCAACTGCCTGGAGATAATCAATGTTAACATTCTGGTGCTTCCAGTTTCTCTCTCCCCCTACCCACACCCCATCTCTCTCTCTCTCTCTCTCTCTCTCTCTCTTCCTGTATATATATATATTGCATATATATATATATTTGCAAAGAAATATTACACATTTTTTTCAGAAACATAAATAAAATCATATGTAAAAATATAATCAATCTGATTTGGATAGAAATATCTTATCTTGCATTGTGTTTTGCTATATAAGAAACCCTTTGATAACTTCTCCATGCAAACATGACATAATTCTTAAAACAATAATATCAATTAAAGAAACTGAAAGCAGTGGAGGTAATGATCATTTTTTTAATCCAGTATTTTCCTCAGGTAGACATGAGCTTTAAAGAAAATCTCTATCACTTGTCCTTTATGCAGAACTGAGCATGTGCTTGGGTTACTACATGTCATCTTAAAATGTTTAAAAGTAGATAGGCTCCAGTAGGCATGGAAAAACCCAGCTTACATTTGTTCTAACTATTGTGGCATCAAATGGAGACCAGCATTAAGTGCAGGGCATTACTGTGAGTCCTTTAAAGCATTCCCAGAAATGTACCTGATTGCCAGGTTCTCAATTCTGCCAATTCTTTTGAAATTATCTGCATCTATCTAGCATGGGCTTTGTAAAGCCTAACTACAGATTTGTATAGAACATTTTACATATGAATCATTACCCTCAGAATTTAGAGATTATTAGACCTACATTATCAGAAATACAGGCAGCACAGAAATATATCAAGTTTGAACTAGTCCTCCACGGAGTGAATAGCTCTTGAATAAGGCAAATAGCCTCTTGAATATGTACAGCAATAATAACTGAAATTTAAAAACCATCCTCAGACCTCATTTTAGCCATTATTTTAAACATTTTTCCAGATAAAGCTTTCACAATTAGCTAAATTGATGCATAAAATTCACTTCTTCTTCCTGCCCATCCTCTGGTTTAACAGTAACCGTGATCAACAGAAAGCCTTCTATATTTTTAAAGATTTGTAAATGTTCAACTCTGTAAAAATGTATAGACCAAAATGCTGGAAAAACATAGAAAAAGTATTTATTCTAGTTTATTGGACCTGTGATTTTATAAGTAACCACATAAACTTTAATTTGTAAGCATTTCAATGTAAGATAAAATTGTGTAGACTTTTACTGTTTTTTCCAAAACTCTATTGGTCCGTCAGGGCAGGGACTCTTTCTGTTTTGATATGCATCATTTTGATCATACTGCCTGATATATAATAAGCTCTCAATGAATATTTATTGAGGCCGGGTATGGTGGCTCATGCCTGTAATCTCAGCACTTTGAGAGGGGCCGAGGTGGGAGGATCACTTGAGGCCAGAAGTTCAAGACCAGCCTGGGCAACATGGCAAAACCCTATCTCTACAAAAAAATTAAAAAATTAGCTGGGTGTGGTGGCACACATCTGTAGTCCTAGCTACTTAGGAAGCTGAGGTTGAAGGATTGCTTGAGCCCAGAAGCTCAAGGCTGCCATGAGCTATGATTGTGCCACTGTATTCCAGCCTGGGTGACAGAGTGAGACCCCTCTCAAAAAATATTTATTGAATGAATTCTATGAAATTACCAGAATATAGGAGGCTGGGAGGTAAAGAAGCTAAGCATCTTGATAGATAGACCCTAAAATATATAAAGTCATGTGATCACACATGACTTTCATGGTCTTCTATATTGGAAAATATACCAAGGAATGTAGATAATCCTAGGTATGTTAATTTCCATTATTAAAAAAACTACTTAACTCCAGCAGTACAGTAAAATCTTCTTTATATATAAATGGCTGTTTATCATTTCCATGATTATTTTAGTTCATCTTTTTTCTTCACTTTAATTGACAAATAAAAACTATATATATTTATTATGTACAACAATGTTTTGAAATATGTATATATTGTGGAATGGTTAAATCAAATTAATTAACATACAAATTACTTCATATACTTATTACTTATTTGTGATGAGAACACTTAAAATCTACTCTCTTAGCAACTTGCAAGTATACAATACATTGTTATTTAGTTCATCTTAATAAGTACTAGCGTTAGTACTCTCCCTACAATTTTTCTGCCAAGGAAAAGATTATATTGATCTATACTGCTTTGTTACCTTTAGGCTCTTCTCTTTGTGGTGGTCCAATATTCCCAGGGCCCATGGCTCCAACGCTAGATGAATAATTTGACTTGGGTAGAAGAAAAAATAATCCAACATTCTGTAGTTACTGCTTGTATAATCTATATGACTAGTAATACTTTAAATTTGATAAGCTTTCCATGTAAAAACCTCATAGAGCTTTCCAGTTCAATTACCCATCTTTGTTACACAACAGAGAGACAGATGCCACATATTATTTTGAATGTGCTTTCCTTGTTCTTTCAAAAAATATTCAGTTTAATAGACTCTAGGGCAGAATTGATCTTTAGTCAGACTAAATCCCCAGTTCCAGTTCAGTGAATCATGTATCCCTGGGGATGAGGAATGAGCCACATTCATCTCTATGAAGATCACAACCAAGTGTTAGTATAAAAGCATCAATACTTTTGGGTTTTAAGTATCTAGTTGTAGTTAGATGGGAGATAGAAGTATGGGAAAGTAGAGGCTAAGTATTTAGACTTCAAATGATCCATTTGAAAGCCCTGATAACTGCTTTTACTGTTTTTCACTATGGGTATACAACACTATTCTGTCCCACCATCTCATGACACTAAACTAGTGGATTTAAACAGCAACTCCAAATTAATAGTGTCAAATACATGCTAAAGCGTTTCAGTTTTCATACAAGTTTATTTTGTCATCCTCTGCATAAGCATGTGCACCCCCACAGGACTTCCCCTGACTCACCAGTACATTTTTTCAACTAAGTGTAACATATATTACATCATCAGTATAGTGGCACCACCTCATTGGCCCCTCTCAGGGATTTTTTTGGTATTTCAAGAAAATCCCAATTTCTTACTAATTGTTTTTGCTGATGTTAGACCCTGCAGATTCAACTTACTCCATTACTGGCAGTCCAAAAATTCTTATCTCCTTGGATCCTAGCAGACTAGCACCTCTATCTCTCCTTTCTCAGGCACCCAACTTCATCTCCTAAGACTTCAGACATCTATAAAAGTTAGAATGTCCTGTTTGGGCAAATGGAGTCATGTCTGTCCTTGAAAGCTGGTGGAAGAGCTCACCTGAGTCTTTATTATGCTAAACTATTTCAACAGTTATAAATCAGAAATTAATCTACAACATCTCAACGGTGTCTGATACAGTAACTATTCCCTTCCAGAAAGGTGTCTCAAAAGTGTTATGTCTGCAGTAAAGGTGTTACAGGCATTTTTATGTGAAAATCCCAAGACAATATTAAGGACTTTTTTTTCTTTTTAATCACTAAGGTCATATAAATGTGTAGTACTTTTCTTAAATTATTAATCATCAGAATACTACTAGTCAATCAGGGTAAAGCATGTCTCGAGGTCTTGAACTTGAGGGCCTCTTGTTTTGTTGAGTGCCTCCTTCCACAGAAAATTTAAATCAGTAGAAATAAAATCTTGGACATTCCTGACAAAAATTGGTATGCTCTCCATGAACAGTGATGATTGGATCAGTATATCAGAGTTTCAATCTATTAACTCACTGAAAAGAAATGATTAAAAATAAAAATTTCAAGTGAAAAGATGGAATGGGATAATAAAAACACTAAAAACCCTCTGGTAATTGTTTTCTATAAGAACATCATTTGAGCCTTTACCATGAATCTACAGCCAATTATATGAACAATTTATCATTGCAATTCATGCCACTTTGTAATATATAAGACAGTTAGAATATCCTTGCTACAATACCTGTGAAGAATGGTGAACTTTATTTCCCATAGGCCTTAAGATCCCCTCGTGAGTTTGAAAAACTACAGATACACCAGTCCCAATCTTCTAGAGTCTTACCAATTCATAAAGAAAAGGGATAGTGTAAATGAACCAATATGTATGCAACAGTTTTCTTGCTGCTTTCAGCAAGTGTATTTTTAAAAACAAATCACTCTTGTAATCATCCCTCAGTTCCCAAGATTAATATATGTTAAAAAATGAAAAGCAGTTTCTCTCCTGGAAAATTTAATAGTTCATCAGAAACATTAATTATTCTCCCACTGTTCTGATACTCTAGTTCTATATCCTCTAATGATATCTGTACTGTGGTATCTGAATGACCAATTATCTCAAAATTGCTTATAACCTAGATATACAGAATCATATGTTATTATAGTAATTTTCCTTTATAAATTGTACAATTCAGTAAAATGATGTCAGTCTCTCTGTTCTCATAAGCACTCATCTTTCCTCCTAGAAACACCTCTAGATGCAAATAAACATCTCCAGCCATAAACCCCAAAGGGAACAATCTTTGTAACCAGAGTAAATCCTTATCTCTGAATCTGTTCCAGTTACAAGTTCCCCTTCACTTTATTCAAGATCACTGTTTCTCAAATACTTAATTTACTTTTTCCATATGTCATCACCCTCCCTTTCCCAGGATGTAGGCTCCAGAAAATGATCATTCTGTTATTTCAACTAAGGTAGCAAAAAAGAGCTTGCTTTCCCGACTTCATTGATAACATTGCTCCTATCCTTTTTTCTCCTGTGTCCTGTTTGTTACATATATTCAACACTGTTATTAACGTCCTGATTTTCTTTATTTGTTTGGCCTCTACTGATTCTTTCCCCTGATTAAAGCTTCCTCGTTTCTGATCCTGGATCCAAGCTGACTTAGTTCTTCTCTTCTACAAATTTTATTTCCATTTCATGTCTTATTTAATTCTGCCTTGTTTCACCTAAGCTTTTCCCGGATGGTGCTAGCTCAATCCTGTGTCAATATGAGCCACAGAATTTGCTGCTTATTCAGAATATACTTATGTTTCCACATTATGACAAAAAAGAATTTTGAAAGGAGTAAATTGATATGTATTTCCATGGATGATGATTTATTCATGGTAAACTAGTCATAATAACAAAACACTTCATCAAAATAAATTTATGCAAGTTAATATATTCTGTTAGGAGATTTTTGCCCCAAGTTTTGTTTGTCTTATCATAGGCAGTCTGAGAGCTAAGGCTCACTGATATTTAAGGAGTAGGAGAATGGAGAGCAAGGAGTTACATAAAAGCGCTTTTGTTGTTTTGGGAATACTGGCAGTGACCTTGGAGTGGCCAAAGGTCAGTTCTATCAGAACTCTTCTACAGAAAATGAAGCCCATATTGTTGCTGCAAGCCTTACTGGCATTACCTGTCCTGACCCCAGTGCTACTCAACTAATTAGACTCCACAGCTTTATTTTAGCATGTATAGGGAAGCCACTTTGATAGGCTGAAGCTAGTTTGTCCTATTATTTGGTTCAAAATATTTTCTGTTCTGCTTTCATGTGTAGACAAATAAAAAAAAATAAGGGATTGGTACTTGTGGGTCCCATTAATACTGTATAATTGAAAATATTTCTTATGGAAATGTTGTCTAGGCTTAAACAGTCCTATCTACCACTTTGCAATAGTTGTCAAGCATTCTTAGGCCATAAATATAAATGACAAACATTTTGAAATGTGGCTATTGCTACCATAGTTACAGAACTATTTTCCTATTCAGTGTTCAGGTGGTTTAGAAAAAATGTAATTATGTTTGCTAGAAATGTACTAGAGGTTATACTCTCATGCATAATCAGCCTTGCAGTCTCCTGTGAATGTATCAGATGACACAGTCCTGCTCCCACAGTAAGGTGGGAACAAATTGTTCGAATACACTTTCACAATTTCCCATGAACAGAACTAATTTATCTATAAGTATATGGCCACCTGTCCAGAGTCAAAATCATCCTCTTCTTCAGGATTAATTAGCTCAGAGAGTGCTTCCAGAGTAGAAATTGAAGAAAGTGTCTCAATTTCCAGATTTTTAGGTCTCATACTTTCCGCTTCTGTATTTTCAGAATCCATATTCTAAGGAAGAAGATATTCAGAAAGAGATAATTTACTTTTAAGTTTTATAAAGACATGAAAATTTTGTATTGTCATACTTCCCTTCTTTCTCGGGGTCACTCCATTGTCTCTCATCCTTCCTTGAAAATCCTTGTAAACTCCTTTAGATATATGTTTTTTGCTAACTCACAGGCCTGGGCGGCGAGCAAACTCAAGCATTCAGCATGTTTTACTAAAACTTCATACCCAATGTAACAAGCATTTATTGAGCACCTACTATAGTGGTTCTCGGGTTTTAGTGTGCTTAAGAATCACTTGGGGAGTTGGTTAAAAATGCAGATTCTTAAGCCCTAACTCTAGAGAAAGTGTATATCAGTGTCATATAGATTATGTATGATTATTTCAGAACATTATTTTAGACTATCTTTTGATCTATCTCATGTATGCTGTTTAGGTTATATATTCTACTTAGTGAACTGAAAAAGATATTGCTTGGTGGACATACCACCAAGGCCTTTACTCATTTCACACTTCTGCCTCAGGCAGGCCTGCATCTTCTACTTTATTTCAATTCTTAATTAACCCTTGATGATGCCTAGCACATTGCCATTTGAGAACTCTAATGGGTTCATTCATTGACTTTAGTGAAAGTTAATGAAATAATTGTTTTTTTTATTATAACATTTCAGGAAAAATACATTACATGTATAAACTAAGAAAACTATAGCTACCTATAATCCTACTATCTAGACATCAGTTTTTCAAATAATCTTTGCAGGCCAGGAGTGTTGGCTCATGCCTGTAATCCTAGCACTTGGGGAGGCAGCGGCAGGAGCATCATTTGAGGCCAGGAGTTCGAGACCAGCCTGGGTAATAGCAAGACCTTATCTCTACTAAAGACAAAAAAAATTAGCTGGACATAGTGGTGCATGCTGATAGTCCCAGCTACTCGGGAGGCTGAGGCAGGAGGATTGCTTGAGCACAGGAGTTTGAGGTTGCAGTGAGCTATGATGATGTCACTATACTCTAGCCAAGACAATGGAGTGAGACCCTGTCTGAAAAAACAAAACAAAACAAAACAAACAACCAAATAATATTTGCAGTTATATTTCGAGTAGGAAATTCAGGATCTTTAAAAATCATGCAGGTGTCAGACTTTAGTGAATAATCTGAATAAAGATTGTAGAATTAGGCCTATTTTTAGTGATTTGGGCATAAATATAATAGGATTTTTTTTCTACACTTCTGCTGATATTTTTAAACATTATTTTATAAAATTAAGTCACAGGAAACATTTATGTAGTACTTTTATTAAATGATCCATGAAAATTTTTCCATTGTGCCCAGAAGAGTAATACAAAAGGATTTTCAAATGTGTGGTGGCATAGTTACCTGTCAAAATCAATCTGCATGCAAATGGCGTTTTACAAATCTTCTGTTTTATTATGTTTTATCAATAGTTTGAATTTCTTTTTTTTTAATAGAAAACTGATCCTAATATCTGGTGAAGATGTCAAGGGTAAGAAACAAACCTAAATTGCACAGACGCAGTATATCATAGTGGTTAAAAGTAAGGGCTCTGAAGTCACATTGCTTGGATTTGTATCTATTATTTACTTTCTTAGCTCTCTGACTTTGGGCACATTATTTAAACTCTCTATATCTATTTTTTTATCTGTAAAATGAGGACAATAGTAGTATATATCTCTTAGTGTTGTTATAAGGATTAAGTAGCTTAATAATACACATAAAAAGACCTTGGAACAGTGCCTGGCACATAGTAAGCACTCAAGATATGTTGGCTATTATTAGTTCTTTGAAAGTTCAATTTTGCTGGGTGTGACTGTCATGTCTAATAATGATGTGAAATAGGTTAATGATAAAACTCATTACTTTGGAAACTCATTAAATTGGAAAAAGTGGAATAAAAGGTGATAAAACAATCTTCTCTCATAGTGTGGTCTGATAGACTGCTATGGAAATGAATAATTGATACAAATTAAACAAAGAAGCTCTTGTTTATATTTTAAAAATCCTAGTTGATTATGTGCTCATTAAAAATTTACCTAACATTAAAAGCAGAAAGTTTATTGTAACATTTTCTACCTTTGACAATGAAAGGTAAAATGCATCCAGGTATCAGATACGATGATATAATTAGTATTTTAAATTGAGACTGTACAAATGAGACATTTAAGAAACAAGCATAACAGAAATTATCTATGATACCAGCATTACCTACTTTACAAAATTGTTGTGATGGTCAAATTATGCAAGGTAGGTAAAGGAGTTTGCTAAAATATGAAAAGTTATATAAAATGTCATTATTATCTGTCACATAGTGCCAACACCCACAGATATTTTGATCATAAGGCTTGTGAGAGCTCAATGGTGGGCTGGTGAAAGGAGAATTAACTGGGACCAGTAAAGCTAACCTATAAAAAGGTATTTAGAAGTCCCAAATATAGTGTCTGAGGTAGTAATCAGAATTATAATTCATGTAGTCTTATTTGCTTGGCTGGGACATGGCAGCAGGAATTTCTGGATATAAGCAGTGCTTCAGAACAGAAAGGTTGAAGTCATGGTTATAGGGAAATCTATTTAGGATGAAGTAGGACCCTGTCCCATAGGTGGAGAGTATAACTGGCAGGGTCCAGTTTTTAAGGATTATGGGGGAGTTGGCAACTAGATGAAGTTTCAGAAGAGGGCAGGGCTCAAAGTTCCAACTGGAAAAGAGAAAACAAACCAGGCACTGCATCAGTAACTTTCTCATGTCCCCTGGGCATCCACAGTGGATGTTAGGAAGGAAGGTTATGGTTCATTGGGTACACTGGATACTGGATTTAGGAAAAGTAGATTAATTCTAAATCCCTACCAGTTAGCTGGGAAGTAATTCTTGCCTGGTTTTTAATAAGTGAGAAGCAGGGCAGTGTGGGCAGAGTGAAGTTATACTTATAGACTGAACATCTTCAATAACTGGAGCTGGCACATAGCAGTTGATAAATACTGCATGAAGCATGATTAAATTCATATGAATATTGTATTTCAAAATAGCCCCTTGGAAAGTTATAGATTGATGTAAATTATGCTATCAATGCTCAAAATATTTTGGAATTGCCTTCATATGCATCACCAAGAAAATATGTATCATTATGGTATCATTCAGTTTGATTACACATAAAATTTGTCTCCAAGAGATTTCTAGATATATCTAGACATCACAACTACTTTCAAAATATGAAGTTTTGCTTTCTTGAGGATATTCAAAAGAATGTGCCACAGGCCTCAAGGTGATTCTAAAAGAGTAGTTTCAAAAGTAATCTATCTGAGTAATAGCAACATCATTAGAATAAGTAGATAGCTTCCAAGAGTGGCTACTTTGAAGGTGTTGCCAATCTTTGGGATTTGTATGTTTGTATTTCATAAACAAATCATTCACAATAATTCTTAGTAACACTTTTTATATCTGAAGCATATTTGGCATTTGACTTCTTAAAGTCCAATTGAACTTCCAAATTATGCTGTCAAAAAATGGCATACGTTTGCACTATAGCTAAATTGGAATAGAAATATAATAAAATTAGTACCTTAGCAAAAATAATTTTTACCATATCAAATGTAATAATAATCTGCAAACACCAATTAATAAATCATGACAAGTTTGTTTATATTGTATTTTGAGAAACAAAAGAATCACAAATATCTTGTGAATAACTAATTAAAAGGTTCAAAGTATCAAAAGAGAAAAACAATTATGTGAATTTTTGGAAAAAACATTCTAAATTTGATGAAAATGAAGATTCTACTAGCTTTTTCAGAAGTCTAACACATTAAGAATAATTTATTAAACTCTGATAAAAAATATTAAAGCTCATTTGACACAAACATCACATCTGAAAAACTAAAGCGAGATTTCTTTTTATGAACTATGCAATCAATGTTAGTTTGTAGAGCTATCTTTAATTTGTAAATTTGATATGCATTTAAGTTTACCTTGAGTCTGGCAGTCGAGGTCCTTCAGGATATAGCTCCAACCTAATTTTCTGCCCTTCCCTCCTATCATTCTCCTACATGTGTTCTGCATTCTGTTAAAAACTAAACTGCTATTAAACATACCTTATAATTTCCTGCCTTTGTGCCTTGAAGTATATTCTTCCTTTTGCCCAGATTACTTGGGTAGTATAGTGTAGTGATTAAAAAAAAAAAGATTCTGGAGCCATACTGCCTCTGTTTGAATCTGGCACTGCCACTTAAATAGGCCAAGAATAAATTTAAACTGAGGAAAATTTAAGAGTTTCAGTTAAAACAAAATATATTGCTAAATCTTGTATTTGAGATTTGGTTATTTAGACAATAAATTTTCTAGGCCCTTTGTTTTTCTATCACTCTCTTTTGCTTGGCCAATGCCTATGGCAGCATTTTCCACAGAGCCTTTGATTTTCCCACATCAACCTGGGTTGTGTATTGTGCTGCTATAAACATTCCAGCGCAAGTGTCTTTTTTTATAAAATCTCTTTTTTTCCCCTTTGGGTAAATACCTAGTAGTGAGATATAGACTAATGGCCTAGAAACACATGAAAAAATGTTCAATGTCTCTAATCATCAGGGAAATGCAAATCAAAACCACAATGAGATATCACTTCACTGCAGTGAGAATGGCTCTTATCAAAAAGTCCCAAAATAAGAGATGCTGGTATGGATGCAGAAAGAAAGGAACACTTATACACTGTTGGTGTGACTGCAAACTAGTACAACCTCTATGGAAAGTAGTATGGAGGTTTTCACTTATGGTTTTCACAGATAGAGGTGTGATTGGAGGATGTATCTTGGTATTAGCCACAGTGAGCTAAAGTGACAGACACTACAGAACCAGGTCATTACCAAAACACTGGAGCCAAAAAAAGGGACCAAAAAAGTTCAACCAGGGTAGCTCCAGAACCATGGCATGAAGCAATATTGGTAACTTTGGGATCAAGTCAGACTCTGGTTGTAAGGCTGGGATCATGCTTTCTGTTTTATTTGCCTCCATCCACAGTATCAATAAGGTTGGCTCTTTGACTTTAACTAACTGGAGAAGAGTCTAGGTTAAATTAGCGAAAACTCTGAATTACAGACTATTCAAAAGAAATGAGGTACCTCCATACTACTATCCATAGAGGTTGTACTAGTTTTCAGTCACACCAACAGTGTATAAGTGTTCCTTTCTCTCTGCATCCATGACAGCATCTGTTGTTTTGGGACTCATTGATAAGAGCCATTCTCACTGGAATTAAGTGATATCTCATTGTGGTTTTGATTTGCATTTCCCTGATGATTAGAGACATTGAGCATTTTTTCATGTGTTTCTAGGCCATTAGTCTATATCCCACTACTAGCTATTTACTCAAAGGGAAAAAAAGAAATTTTATAAAAAAAACACTTGCACTTGAATGTTTATAGTAGCACGATTCACAATTGCAAAGATGTGGAAACAACTCAAGTGCCCATCAATACATGAGTGGATTAATAAAATGTGGTATATGTATACCATGGAATACTACTCAGTCATAAAAAAGGGCAATCGAGTATCTTTTGCAATAACCTGGATGGAACTGAATGGAGACCATTCTTTTGAGTGAAGTATCACAAGAATGGAAAAACAAACACCACGTGTACTCAATACTAAATTGGAACTAATCAATCAACACTTATGTGCACATATGGAAGTAAAACTCAACGGAAATCAAGTAGGTGGGAAGGGAAGGAAGGGATGGGTAAATTCACACCTAACAGGTACAGTACACACTATGCAGGTGAAGGGCACACTTACCACTTTGACTCAAATTGTACAAAAGCAAATTATGTAACCAAAACATGTGTACTCCCATAATATTCTGAAGTTTTTAAAAAAGAATATTTGAAAGTTCAAATACCAATCTCAGATAACGTTTAAATCTGTTTTTGCCTTCTTACTGTGGCTCCCTTATCTTTAAATGATAAATCAAGATTCATCAAAAAATAAATATTATATTAATCCAAGTATATATGGTAAATAAAATCAGGGCAATAAAGAATCAGCAAATAGTATCCTCTTGGAACTTGTTTAAGTAAATAGATAAAACTTATCCTTAAAATATTGACTGTTGAATAATTTGAAAGTATTCAAAATCCATTTATTCTCTAAATAAATTTGGCATTTCTTCTGTAACTTTATTTACGCAGTGCCTTATTTAGCAATTCCTGCATTAAAATTCTTTTGAGAACACAAAGTAAACATCATCTCTGCCTATGTCTGAAATAAATTATAATATACTGGTTAACTGTTTCAGTTATCGTATCTATCTCATCTTATCTACTATCTATCTATCTATCTATCTATCTATCTATCTATCTATCTATCTATCTATCTATCTATATTGAGACAGAGTCTCACTTGGTTGCCCAGGCTAGAGTGAGTGCCGTGGCGTCAGCCTAGCTCACAGCAACCTCAAACTCCTGGGCTCAAGCAATCCTCCTGCCTCAGCCTCACCAGTAGCTGGGACTACAGGCACGTGCCACCATGCTGGGCTAATTTTTTCTATATATATTAGTTGGCCAATTAATTTCTTTCTATTTATAGTAGAGACGGGTCTCGCTCTTGCTCAGGCTGGTTTTGAACTGCTGACCTCGAGCTATCCGCCCGCCTCGGCCTCCCAGAGTGCTAGGATTACTCTTTTTTATATTTTTTGACGATACTCATGAATGATTCCCCACCTACTAAAAATAATTCATTTAGAGCATGTCTTTACAATACCAAGAATAGTTTCCTTTTTTAGGTCTCTAACTTTCACTGCCATCAATGTACCAACTTTTAAGTTACTACGGGAACTTAGAGTTTTTGTTACAAATTAAATATATTTAATGGAAGGTTTTTGAAAGTAACTGGACTCTGTAATAAATGAAAAGGTCAAAAATTAATTTGATTATAAATTCCTTTGATTTTATTTCTCTATTTATTTTAGCTTCTTATTTATAAGGAGTTTCAGCATCCCAATCCTTTTGAAAAGTGAGGCCTTTTGTTTTCTTTTTAAAGTGAGTTTATATGGAGAGGCAAATCCTTAGTTTCTTATAGAACTCATTCTGAGCTTCAAATGCATTAAACCTTTCATACAAACTTAACACATTATCAAGAATACACTTATTAAGACAAATTTAATACACTTTTTAACCTCTTAGTGCGGTGGCCAAAGTACCTGCTTTTGCGAAAAGTGTGGTGGGTCATTTATCGTGCTCTAGTAGTTAACGTACATGGCCCGCCGCACTTTTCGTCGTAGACGCAAAAGCCGATATTTCCGCCGGCCGCTCAGAAACCGTTAATATTACTCGTTGGCCGGGCGCGGTGGCTCACGCCTGTAATCCTAGCACTCTGGGAGGCCGAGGCGGGAGGATTGCTTAAGTTCAACAGTTCGAGACCAGCCTGAGCAAGAGCAAGACCCCATCTCTACCAAAAATAGAAAAAATTAGCCGGGCATGGTGGCGCATGCCTGTAGTCCCAGTTACTTGGGAGGCTGAGGCAGGAGGATCGCTTGAGCCCAGGAGTTTGAGGTTGCTGTGAGCTAGGCTGACGCACTAGGCTGACGGGACTCTAGCCCGGGCAACAGAGTAAGACTCTGTCTCAAAAAAAAAATAAATAAATAAAATAATATATATATATATATACACACACACATTACTTGTCAATAATTTTTCTCCTTGTTTCTTTATCTCAGTCTCATACTCCACCTGTTTCTAAAAAGGAGTTGAGGTGGCAAATTTTCTTTTGATACTGTGAAATTTTCTCCCCAAGTCCTATTTTCTTCATTTCTTTAAGAAACGGTCTCATTCTGAATCTTTATCACAACAGGAAACTCTTAGGAGAAACAACTGCTACATCTCTGGTCAAACTCGGTTCTCTCTCCTTACTCGGATTTAATTTTTTAAACACAGTTCCTCACATTTTGACCGGTACAGTCAAATAACTTACTTACCTTCCCAATTAGCAGGTTTGGTAGGTACAAGTATTCTCTGGACGCTACACCTCAGTTCACTAGGTGCGGATCTGCCCGCCTCCCACTCCTCAGTGGATCTGCGCAAGCTCAGTTGGAACCCTCAGGCCACCGTGTTCAAATTTTCATACAAACGGTATTTCTCATGTAGCGAGTGGCAGGGGCCATTTTTTTTCAATATGAACGTGCTTTTACCCGCCTCCTCCAGTATCTACTAACCAAGGAATGCTGGTCCAGGATCAACCACGCCTGTACATATAAAGCAGAAGGTACAGACAGTGGCTGCTGCTCCAACTTGGAGCACCCAGATCTACCACAAGGAAACATGGCTTTTATACACTTTCAAAGTAGTTATTTTTAAAGGGAAGGGAGACCCAGTAAGTGTGTGTGGGAATTGAGAGAAGGGCCAGTTGGGAAACCTTAAGATGTTCATTTTGGCCTTCTGACAATCGAATAGCACCCATCCCTTGTATGCTACCCCATCTCTCACTCACATCCTGAGAGACTAAGTTTTGTTAAAGCCGCGTCCTCTTCCTAGCGTCTAGGATACCAGGATTTAGGGAACGGGTCTCCTCTACCTTGAGAAGCTTGTGGCTTTTTGGGGTATCTTTCGTGTGGAGTTTTCCCTAGTTTCTTTGATAGCCACGACATGTGAGGACCCCATCTTTCCCCCTCCTGAGGTTCAGGTTTCCTCACCTTGATCAGTTTTCGGGTCTCTGGAAAGGCTCCGAAAATAGACTTGAGGAGAGCTCCGCGTCTCCTTGTTGCCTGGGCAACAACTTTGTTTCCCCCCCCCGCCCCCCCGCCCAATCTCCGGGTTCCCGCTTGACTTTCCTGGCCAATCATAGAAGAGTCTCCTTTGCAGCCACTCCAGAATCAACCAATCCGAGCGTGTCCCGGTCGGGTCAATGGCCGCCCTTTCTAGTTAACTAGGTCGACCCCATTTAAGCTTCTGTCTTGGTTAGCGTCACTCTAGCGGGACCCTGCCCACCGAAGAGACCGGTTCTTTCCGGCTCGAGTAGGTCCAGACACGCCCCTCTGCTGGCTGTGAGTCCAGGAGGCCTGCCCATTTACTTTGGGGCTTCCGACAGCAAGCGGAGGCAACTGCCACCCAGGTAAGTTTGCAAGGTTTTCGTTTGTCGGGGTCGTCAGCAGGCTTTGCTCTCCTTTACGCTTTTCCAGCTCGGGAATGTCAGATCTGAGGACTCCATCTCCTGCTTATCCGGTGCAGCGAAGGTGGAAGGGTAGGGTCCGTGGGCAGGCATTGAGGAGGTTTTCCTATGGCTTTCCACACACTCTTCCCGCCCTCCCCGCCCCTGTCCTTTCCCCCCCGACTGTCCCCCGCCCCGCGACAGAAACACCTGTTATGCTTCTGTCCGGGTTGGGCATACCTCTGTGTGTGTGTGTGTGTGTGTGCGCGTGTGTGTGCGCGCGCGCGTGTGTAGGTTGGGATTGCGCTTTTCATTCTCTGCTGTGGGCAAGCCTTCTGGGCCCTAAGCCCCAGGGAGAGCCACACGGCTCCCGTGTAGCACCAGCTGGAGCTACGCGTCGCTCCCACTTCAGGGAAAATCTCGGGGACAGTGTCCTGCTTTTCCCGCCTTGGAGTGGAGAAACGCAGGCGCGCCGCCCGCTTGCCACTGCTAGGGAATCTGGGTATCTTCACTTCACGGAGAGGTAGAGTGGTGATTCTAGTTTGCCATGAATTCTGTGGTTTGGTTTTAAACAAAGGGGAGGTGGAAAGGATGGCATAATAAATATTTAGAGTATTTGGGACTCATTAGCCATGATCAATGGTAGGACCCCACATACATTATTTGAGTATTGTAAGCAAGAAGAGATAGGATGGTTTTAATGAATGGTTACTTTTGGTTATTCAGGGATTGGAATTCGATTATGAATGAACTATTCTACTTACCTTCTTTCTGCTGCCATGCTTTTAACTTCCACCCATCTGGCAGAGGGGATATTGAAGTTTGAGTAATTTTTCAACTCTACTTGTTATTATCCACAGTAAAAAAAAAAATGGGGTTAGAATATTTAAGTTATTGGCTAAAGTAACGTTATTGGCCAAATTGCCTATACCATAATTCCCTTTATTACTGTGGATGATCAGAGTTTAAGTGTTTTGTTAATTCTCTCCATACTTGTGGAGCTTAAATTGTGTGTATCATGCTATTTCCATTTTCTTGCTTGTTTTTTAAAAATTTTTATTCTGCTTCATTGTGCATTGTTCTAAGTCTGTAATGCTCAGCCAGTGTTTTTCAGACTCTTACTGCGACTCCTAGTAAGAAATACATTTTATATTGTGACCCAGTACACACATACACAACATATAACTGCCACTATTTTGCAGAAACAATACTACCTGCAATGTACTCTTGATACTTTTTGTTATATTTTTTAAATTGTACACCACAAGCCCCTAATAAATTGCCACTAGACATTTAGTTTTCAAACTGAAGGGAATTTATTAGGGAATTTATTAAAAATGCAGATTGCTCTACCTCACTCCAGAAGTTGGTTCTGTGGATCTGTGTGGGACTCAGGAAGGTGTGTGATTCAGCATGTATGAAGTGCTTGGTACAATGCCAGATGCACAGGTGTTTAATGAATATTACTTTCCTTCTTGGGTAACAAATGTTGTTTATCTTTACAGATATAATCACCTCTTCAAGGTTTTGCCTGCCCCAGTGCCAAGCACTGTTTTCCCCAGGTTGAGGAGGTAGAGAGGTGGAGAATGGGTCCAGGATTTGAGATGAAACGTTAAGCACTTGGCTTCTCTGGACAGTGTTAGAAATATAGAAACTTAGAGGTTGAGGAACATAAAGATTAGAGAGGTTCAGTGACTTGCCCAGGGTCATGCTGTCAGTGAATGGATCTCTGAGAATAGAATTCACTTTATTGAGTCTATATTCTTGTCCCTTCTTCCTTGATAGCAGGTGGGATCTAAAAGAAGTTGAAACAGAAATACAGCTTCCCTGACTTGCCTATCCCAGAGCAGAGGCAACTGAATTTGACTGCTAGTTTGGTTTTAAAGTAATGAAACTTGAGAGATCTAAAAGATTAAAGAAATGCACCCAAAAGTTTTTGTGGGTTTATAGCTATGAAAAAGGGATATAGTTTAGCTAATTCTTTTATAAAATATAGTGTAACTATTTAAAACACTGATTAAGTAATTTATTAAAGCAGCATTGAAAGAAATTAAAGATGAAAATTCTCACTGAATTCTACTACCGTAGTATAACTGAGTTTTGTTCCCCTTCTATCTTTATCCATATATACCCATAGTTTTACATGATTATAATCCTTGTTTATACTTTTTTTTGTTCTTTTGATTTAATACTGTTTGGGGAATTTTTAAAAGTCTTTATATTTTGCATTATTAATAGCTGCCTAATATTCCACTGAGTGTGTTGGCTATAATTTACTCAGCCTAACTAAACCAACAACAGAAGACTTTGCATGTAAAATAATGCTGGAAAGTCTTGGTTATTTTAAATCGTTTATGCAACTTTTGTCTTTCATGACTCTGGGTTCAAGAGGAAGCCTAACAGGAAGGCCAGGGATCTGGACCTGAGCTGGGAGTTTATGCTGCACTTGGATGTATGGATTTGACCACCGAGATTTCTATGTGCTAGAGCAGCAGTGATCAACTGTGGTGTGTTTGATACATAGGAGTTAGATTGAGTGTATTTTTTAAAGCTAGTCAAGTGAAGCAGTGGGAGTGAGAAAGAACAAAGAAATCTGCAACTGGGTGTAATCAATTGGTTGTAAACACCACTGCACCTGGACCAGCCTGAATGTATTTTTTTTTACTAAGTCTATTTTCAAAATGATTTACGTAAAAAAAATATGAATCATAGCAGATTCAAGCAAGTTCAAGTGCCATAATAACACTTGCATTGATTAGCTTTTCTTTATGAATATCTTTTTTCAAAGATTATATGAGTGTATATTAATTTGTAATTTAAAATTTTTTATAAAGAAGCCAATTAAGTTGACTGGAAGAAAAGAAGCTATAATTGGTCTATATTTGCACATCTCCCTCTTCAAAGGACACATTGTCTTATTTTCTGTCACTCTAAGACGCTAATTAGTTCTTCTATTTTAAACAGAAAAATAAACTATTATAACCCATCATCCATGTACCTACCAAGGATTTAACAATTGTTAAAATTTTGCCACATTTTTAGATATTGATGTTTTTAAGAACTAAAACAATACAGCTACCTATTTGTACCCCTTCTCAGTCTCATTACCTTCCTATTCCAGAGATAATTGCTTTCCCAAAGTTGGTATATATTTTTACAATCTATGTTTATAAATGCACTGAAATGTGGCCACAAATGACTTATAATATTGTTTTGTATGTCTTTAACATGTACATAAATGGTATAGTGTATCTACTCTTCTGCAACTTTTTATGGTCAACATTGTTTTTAAGATTTTTAAATGTAAAGTTATTTTTATTGCTGTATAGTATTCCATTATATGACTATACCACTTTAAAAAAAAAAACCTCCATTCCCTTATTGTTGTTGGACATTTAGCTTATTTCAAGAATACAGATATGACTCATTTAAATGATATGAATATTGTGTGATTCCACTTGCATGTGGTACCTAAAATAGCAAAATTCATAGAGACAGAAAGTAAAATAGAGGTTACCGGGGTTGGAGGAGGTGGGAATGACAAGTTAGGGTTCAACAGATAGAGTTTCTGTTTGGGATGATGAAAAAATTTTGTAAATAGTTAGTGGTGACAGTTGAACAACATTATGAATTTTCTCAATACTACTGAATTGTACATTTAAAAATGGTTAAAACGGTAAATTTTGTGATGTGTATGTATTTTACCACAATAAGAAAATGAAAATTACAAATATAAGAATTGTGCTTATTTTTCAAAAACATATGCTTGATTGTCTTATTTTCTGTGGAGTGAAGCCTTGAAAAGAGCAAATATTTATTTTTTTAAATAAACTTTAATGCAATTATATTAGCCAGATCTACTTTCCTTGTAAAATGATAGTTTTTGAGATCTTTAAATGACAACTATTATTACTCATGCTTGTAAAAGGTTTTTATGAA